AATATTACTCAACGTTAGGAAAGATTATTATGTCAATTTCTTGGGTTCCGCGAAAGCTTGATAAAAATAATATCATCACGATATGGCACGCATTCGAGTAATTATGCTATTGTGAATGTAGTAGACGCCTTCACATATTCTTACACAACGACCACATTTCAAATGCTGAGGTACGGAACAGAATCACAAACGCAGTGGGACAGCATGAAGATCTACTGACCACAATGAAGAGACGAAAATTAAAATGGTATGGGCATGTAATGTCACAAGATCCTCAGGACTTGCCAAAACAGTCCTACAAGGAACCGTACAAAGAAAGAGAAAGAGAGGAAGGCAGAGGAGATGGGAGGACAACATCACAGAGTAGACAGGGAAGGCGATGGGTGACAATCTGAGGAAAGCAGGGGACAAAAGAGGAGGAGGAGGAGGAGGAGGAGGAGGAGGAGGAGGAGAAGAAGAAGAAGAAGAATTTAGTAGCACTTTATTGCACCGGCGCTGACCCCAACTCTCACAAACGGATGTGTGTGAGATATGAGATTCAAACATGGACGTCTAGGCGTGTGTTATCTAACACTACTCCAGGAACCCGGAGGTTTTTCTGTTGAGTTTTTTTGTTTTTGTTTTAGTTTTTTTTAAAAATATTATTGTTATTATTTCACAGTGGCCCTGAATGAGGAAGGAAAATGTCTATTACACAGATCTATTACTACTATTATCTTTTTAAAAAAATTTTTTATTGAAGATTGTCGTCAACGAATGCCACCTCTGCACATGCTAGACAAAAGTGAACGTGACTTACTAAGACTAAGAGTAAGAGTGAGATAGACTTTGAACAACAAGTGGCTGGATTCCAGAACTATCTTAGAACTACAATGTTCTGTCTGACATTTTTACCGTTGTGAGTTACAAAGACCTTAGGGTCAGAAAGCAAAATGTTCTATCTGGTCTGTCAAAATCGCAAGATTATAACGTGTAGATCTAGTTGTTACCACGATATTGAAAGTATTGCATTCGAATAACCTTTGACGTTGTGAAATTAAACATTTTTGACATCAAATTTCTCAAAATCAAGTACTGGGGTAGCGTAGTGGTAGATAAATAGGTCAGGTGATACTGCTTTTTAGTTTTAGTAAGAGTTTTATGGCAATTTCAACGCAATAAGATCATAATATCAGTTGCGAAGAATAGAGAATAGACGTGTTACAAGAGAGTAACATACATACACAAAAAGGAGCAGAGATAAAGATGTTTGATAGGAAAAAACAAGCAAAACACACAAGAGCACCCTCAAACCACCCACAGGTGATGCGACTAATTTTACCTGAGAATAGGAATGTGACGTTGTGACCTGCACCTTTTGACCTACCGGTTTTTCCCTGCCCCCTTCTACGTCTTTGACTTTGGCAGCAGAATTAGGTCAATCTTCGCGGCTCCTGAACAAAACTGCAGCATCTTTTTTTCAATAGCCTTCCACGATAAGCAAAATAAATGAATA